AACAGGACAGCTTTCTTTGGCGCCTGGGGGATGATGGAGCACCAAGGACTCTAGGTTTGACATGAAGCAACATTTGCGTGAGATTAGAGGTAATTATGTCGTTTGAGTTGTTGCCACTGGCCTGTATGGTAGACAGAGTCTTGAGTAAGGAGCTGCAGAAGTCGGAGTCACAACCAGGATTAAAATGATGACTCCTCTGAGAACACGCTGCTATTGATCTGCTTTCAACCCCGGGGCTGCTGGGAGAAAGATGCCAACCTCAGTCATCACACGGCCAAAGACCGATGACCTGGCTGCTCCTGAACGCTCCATCTTTTTCTTTTATAAGAAATACTCAAACAGCTGAGGGAAAGGGACCAATGAACTCTTACAATCCAAGTTCTGTGTAAATGATATTGTAATTTTCTTTTCTGTAGAATAAATTAAAACATAATTATAATCCTTGTCTGATATTCCCACCTCACCCTTCAACAGAAATGAATAATGGTTTACTTGATAATGAAAACTGTTGATACCTCACTTAGACCTGAATCAGGTTTCTTTGGTTGTAAGGACGGATATCTGAGGTTGCTTTCAAATATGAAGTTTGGTGGACTCTGTGCGATTAAGGGGTGCAGTTGCAACACTTTTCATTCAGTTGGGTTTGCTTTCACACTGCACTTTGTCGAGCGCACCAAGGCCTGTCAAATGTTGAGCACTCTGAGAAGTCTATGGGCTCAGAAATACATGATGACTATCAGGTCGGACATCAGTGATCTCTGATTCAGAGGATGATTTATTTCTCATGAGACAAAAATAAAATATAAGCAGAGTATCAGAGCAGCAGAGATTTCTATTGGGAAGGCTAATGCAATATCTTCCTGGGAGCTAAGAAAGCCTTTCTAACATGTGATTAAAGCAACAATGTGTCACTTTTTCACCTAATAATAGTATTTTCAAATGTTTATTTAATAGTATGATAACTATATACAGGAAGAATGGGGTCTCTTCCATGTCCACACATCGTTCAGATGTTGTCATATTTTTGCTAAATCCAATCATAATACTGAACCTTGTCGTTCTCACAACGTGTTTGCCGGCTTCATTACCGTCTGTTGGTCAACAAATGACCTCCAGTGGGCACAAAGTGCACCAAAACAAAATTCCTACATATTGTCTCTTTAAAGTGGTGAACACTGCAGTGGACTGGTTTAGTTAACTTATTGAAACTACTGGGTCAACAGAGACATCCCTACTGTATCTGTCTATATATCTATTGATTGGTCAAAGTACAGTAAGCTGAAAGCACCATTCTGTTTTTAGAATTTTTTCCTACGCTCCCTCATTACTGTGCGGAGCTGCATGAGTAAGACTGGACTAAATTCCTGTGATCTTAAAGGATATGAGGAAAACTGATGGCTAGACCTTAATTTCGGTTACCTTATGATGGATGACAGCGGCAGGAGGGGTGGTGGGGGATTTGTATGGCAGATCTGAAATTTAAATTCCAGCCCGTTCAGAAGCAGACTAAATTTGTGCTGACAGGTGATAATTTAAACACAAGAGGAACAGCTGCTTTCAGAGCTGTGTGAATGTGTGTGTGTGTATATGTGAATTATCTCGAGCCCATATGTGCGCGTGTGTACGTTGAAGCTTGTCATATTTCCTTTCAATCAGTTCTAACCGCTCACAACGTTTCACTTCATGCATATGCAGGCGAGGCAGACTTAGAAGCTGCAGGAGCCAGTTTTTCAGAGAGCTCCCTGCCTGTCTCCTCCCCACACACACACACACACACACACACACACACACACACACACACACACACACACACACACACACACACACACACACACACACACACACACACACACACACAACACACACACACACACACACACACACACACACACACACACACACACACACAGAAATATTTCTTCCTCTCCGTTCCATTATGGTGCCTCACTTCCTCTAAAACCCTGCAAAACTATCTGCAACTTCAAACTAAAAGGCTTTATTTCTTCAGTCTTGGTGTCAGAAATTAAATCGTCATCAACATATATATTAGCATATACAGCATAGCACAGTATAGTAGTAGGGCTACATGATGGTGCAGTGGTTAGCACTGTTGTCTCACAGGTAAAGGTCTCTGGTTCTGATCTCCATTGGACAGCTTGGTGCTGTGTGGAGTTTATATGTTTTCCCTGTGCATGCCTGGGTTCTCTCCAGCTTCCTCCCACAGTCCAAAGACATGCTCGTTTTACTTGGTGACTCTAAATTGCCCGTAGGTGTGAATGTGAGTGTGGCTGGTTCTATGTCAGCCCTGTGAATGACTGGGGAACAGTCCAGGGTATACCCCACCATTTTGTTTCCTGGGATCGGCTCCACCCTGCCGCAACCGTGAGTGGGAGAAAGCAGTAGCCTATAGATAATGGATGGATAGTATAGTATAGTAGTATATCAGCCTATACTGAAGTAATCTAAATGTTTGGTGTTTGTTTGATGCTGTAATTTAATTGGTGAACCATCTGCATGTGGGCATGAAATATAATCAGTCAACAGAATCCGGGAGCTTTACATCGAAGTACCTAACCATCTAAGGTGCTGTTAGCTAGTAGCTAAGCAGTCATGTTTATTTGTGTTGGGGACAGAATGAAAGTCTTAAAAGTCAGGTAATGTAGTTTTAAAAGGGATTAAGTCTGCTGTAGGTGGGGGTCGGGAGGAATAAAGGACTTCTATCCTGTACGCAGAATGCAAAAAGAGAAAGCGTTCCAGGCACTACATGGTGCCAAATCCCCCCGATCTGTTTGATGGCCACGTATTGCACATTGAAACACATGAACATTTGTGATTAATTAAAACATTATCTAAAGGCAGGGTTGGCAATTTCCTCCAGATACACTTATTAAGATTTTGGTTGAAATTGACAGAATTAAAAGTGAATGTGGTCGACCACAGGCGCATTTAGATTATTATTATTTTTTTTCACAAAATAGTAAGTAACCCTCATAGATATACCACATGAAACAACCTTTGGCTCTAACAGGGCAGACAAAGTTTGAACAAGAGAGTTAGCCGTGTGATTTATGGTTTTGGGTGTATATTTGTGTTGTTTACACATGCCAGCGGTCTTAATTTGGTGATATTTCAGAGCGGAATTGTCACTTCATTTCAGTATGAGCCTATAAAGCAACGAAGGTGCTGACACATGAGAAGAGATATGAGAGGTAGGATTAATCATGTGCCTCAGAACGTGGATGAGGAGGGACGGAGCTAGGCTAAGCTGGAGGGAGAGAGGGAGAGAGGGAGGGAGGGAGAGCGCCGAGACATTGGCACAGTGATGGATGTGCTACGCTGTGGATTTACTGCTCTGCCTACCTACGCTCAACTCCACCCCCCTCCAGCTGAGGTTGCTGCTAAACTAACAGCACAAAGGGAGGAGAGAGAAGTCTCATCAGCCGCCTAAGCAGGACACGCAAACAGGACAAAGTCAGAAGCCAAGGTCGGGACAGCGAGTACAATCACCTTCTGTTTACCTGCCTGAGATGATACCAGAACAATACGATGATTCATGAGTTATGAATCTTAAAGGTAGAGTCACAGGCAATGGTTATTACAGCTTGTAAACACAACATTGAAACTGGTCCCTGTGGTGGAATTTAGATTTAAATGAACAAACATCATTTGGTTTGTTCTCTGTTCCTGATGTCAGTCAGACCTAATAGTGTTCAGCTGTGACTAGATGACCAAGGACAGCTTAATGTGTCAACTGTCTTCCCTCATATCTGCAAGGATGTTTGGTAGACTTATTGTCTGCTCCAATTGTACTAGACGTCACAGATTACTTCAGGTGGAAACACTCCAGCTACCCGCCCAGAAATGTCCCAAGTCAACCAAAACAAACCAAAACATGAGGACTTCACAGCCGGAGGGATTTGACCCTGCAGCCCCTGAGACACAGACACAGACACCACAACACATGTATGGAGGCCAAGAAGTGATCACTGAGCTGCATTACTTTAGTATAAAGACAATCTTACTGACTCTATCTTGAAATATGATGTAGCTCCTCAGCTGAATAATTAGCTCTGATAGCATTATCTGTCAATTAGCTGGTTTAAACTGAAGAATTCTGCATAAAAATAAAGCTCAAGGCAAATTGCAAAATTCTTTCATGTCCTTGTAAAACATCATCCGACAAACACAGACCCTGGAACACCGTTGTTAAGTTTAAACATCTCCTTCTTAATGACATCAGAGCTGACTTCAATCACCCTTTCATCACCTGATTGAAAATCTGGACGTTGAGGCGCCGGGAGCCAATAGTGTCTATGTAGGGGACCCGGGTTTGGGACAACCTGTGGCTCCTTTCCTGCATGTCATTCCCCACTCCATTTCTCTCTCTCTCCCTGATTTCTGACTCTATCCACTGTCCTACTTAAAATAGAATATCTGGATGTTAAAATATACATCCAGGTGTTTATGTGATTTCAGTGTTTTTCTGGAGCACTTCACCAGTTCCACTAAGGGAGATTCATTTCTGCCTGCATCAGTATGGATCACATGGGTGAAGTTGTTGACCGGTTTACAGACAGATTGCACAGTTGAATGAAACTTTATACAACGGAGAAGTTTCCAGTTTTGAGTGTGGCGTTCTGTGGAATATCCAGTGGGGATGAGTCATCAGTTAAATAATATTGTCAGTTGTTGTTGCCTCTCTATGAATCAAAAAACTTGTATATTCAAATTCAAACTAGAAGTTGCTTGTTTTTCACCCTTTGAATAACTGCCTCGTCGTTACATATATTATTACACAGAGGTAACCAGATTGTCAGGCGCAGAGCAGACGGGAGTGAAAACGTGCTGATGATGTTTACATATGCATTTCTACACAGTTCAGTTTCAGTCAAGAAGTAAGCATGTCAACGTCTCTGTAAAACACATTTCATATCAGTGAGAGTGAGTTCAGCAGCAGTGAAGGATGTGTCAGTGTGTGAACACGAGATGCAGATACATACCCTCTATTCCTCATGACTGCCAGAGGTGATGATTACTTCTTTATGCACACACACTCAGATCCAGCATCTGTAACACAGAATAAAGCAAAGATCAATCTCAACAACACCAACAAACTGTGGTGCAAAGAACCTGAAAATAATAATGTCCTCCCTCTATATTTACTTGTAATTGAAAGCATCAACGTGTCTGACAAAGCCACTGACTCACACTCAGCTCATTCATTTTCTAGTTTGCATACAAACAGGAAACAGCACCTGGAGTTCAGGTAAGAGACTGCTTTCTGAGTTAAATAAACTCACGGACGAGAATAAAACACAAGTCCTCAGTGAGAAATACTGAAATAAGTCTGCAGCACTGCAAAAACTGAAATCTAAGAAAGGGTATTTGTCTAATTCAATGTCAATCAAAGTCATTCTAAGCAACATTCAGCTGACAAGTTCAGATTATGAAGTTATTTGAAAAGTCATATATTCTCATCCTCCTCTTCAACCAGTGTAAATAAGTCTCAGAGTTCCTCAAAACATGTGTGTGAAGATTCTTGTTCTAAATCCACTCTGATCCTGTATTTGATCATGTCTATAAACCCCTCTATTTCAGCCCTGCTCAGAACAGGCTGTTTCTGTGTCAGTACCTTTAAATATGTAAATGAGCTGTGTCTGACCACGCCCCCTCTCTGGAAGAGCTTGGGTGTACTCTGGCTTTCTTGCTCCATGTCCTATTGTTTACGGTGAGAAGTCAGACTCAGAGGGCAGAACAAACACCTAGCTGTGGGAGTGTCACCCACCTGGGGGAGGGGCTACTGCCCTTTGTGATGTCATGAAGGGAAAATCTCCAAACGGCCTGTTTGAGCACACATTCTTGGAGAGAATGGTGTCATAAAACATGACTTGACTTGAGCTTGTATAGCTCTTTTTTAGTCTTCTGATGAGGTTTTTGATAGCTGACTGTACATTTACTGTTCTGCTAGAAGGAGCAAAGCAGCAGTTCTGCAAAGGTGAAGAGGTGAACTCCCTCTGTGGTCCGTGGTGCTATAAATGGGCATCCTAATGGTACTGCAAACGGTTCACTTTGGAGCGCAGAATAAACTTGGCTAGAGGGGCAGAGACATGCAGCTTGTAGAAGGTTTTAGAAGTATAAATATCTCTATACATGTCGACCAAATTCAAACTGTAATACACTCATTTTTTGTACAACTTGTGCTGAAGAGAGGCAAATTGACGTTTTTTGGTTAGCTTTAGCACCTGCCTGGAGGGGCGCTGCATGGGACATTCTGTGTCCCATGAAAAGATATCTCATTGAGCCCAACGACAAGCACTAAGGCTGTCTGAATGTTACTTTTATTGCAAAAGAAAAATAATAATAATTTAATAAAATATAATTTAATATGAATAAAAGATAGCGAATGTGACTTCCAAACATTTTTGGGCCCTTGTCAGTCATGTGCACTTAGAAACGTCCTAACTCCCCCCCCCCCCCCCGTCTGCATGCACTAACTCTATTTTAAACTCGCAGGTTTGACATCAGAATCTGAGCACCTGCTACTTTGAAGCAGAAAGTTAGAAATATAAACAAAACAAGATACCGGCAACACATTTCAGAATGGTTGTGTCATAATGTTTCACACATGCTGCTTGGTTTCAAAAAACAGGATTGGATAAGGGACCCCGGACGAAGCAGGTGATGACTCTATAAATAATCTGCAGGGTGCTTCTTTCAGATTTCTGCTTCAAATCAGGCCGTAGGTCATCCCCTCCAGCGGCAATTACGAGAATACCGAAACAATACTGTGGACGCCCAAGCACAAAGCAATCAATAACATGTATATCGTTGCTTATTATATTTCCTCCCGCAGGGAAAAGGGGGTCAGGCAGTAACTGAACATGGCAGCCAGTGTCTGTTATTAAAGTGCTGAAGGCTAACCCTGGAGGTCGGGGGCTGCAGGGTCAAATCCCTCTGGCTGTGATGTCCAGGAGGACTACAGAGCACTTTAATCATGTGGAAGAAAGTGACTACATTTGGAGGGAAGGCAGTAAATCACACATGATAGGTCGTACATGAGGCAGTGAAACTGAGCTGTTCCCTGATATCACAGAGGAGATCACCGCTCCTCATGACCGTGCTCACACGTCGCAGTGACAGGACTGTGTTTGCCAAGCCTTGCAGAACAAATATTCATTTAATTTATGCAAACATGCACAAGTGTGGATTCATTTTAATTATTAAAAGGAGACAGCCCTGCGTGCAACAGATTGTTCTGCTGGTGGGTCGGCGGCATGTTGCACCTCCTCTCTAATTATTAACATCTACGTTGTACTTGGATGAAACAGATGAGGAGAGAAGAGGAGCGGGATTCCCCATGGCTGAAACACAGAGTGAGCTACAAGACGATAACACAACTCTGATGAAGGGATGATTTCACTCACTATCTTAAACTCACCCCCACCCCCCCTCAGTGCACTGGCAAGCTTTAACACTTTATATAATGTCTTCCTTTTGGATGCTAAAAACACAGAGATAAGTCAACACATAAAAGGTGAAAGTGTTTATAAAGTCCTCCTGATGCTATGTGGAGTATTATATGTAACTTATTTTGTGGAATAGCCTGTGTAACACGTTAATAAGTAACTGAGTCTGTGTGCAGGAAGGAAAACCTCTCTCAGTAGAACAAAGCACCAAGCTAAACAACAACACGCTTCTACTAAACTCACCGTCAGAGAGCTAAACAACAATGTGCTTCTAGAGAGCGCGGTGCTGCAGACTCTGGAGAACTTCCCCAACAAGGTGCATGAAGAGAGAAAGGCTTAGAAGAGGACAAAAAGCTCCAGGGACACTTGTAGCACGAAGATCAACTTTGTTAACAAATTAGGCCGACGCGTTTCGGCTTGTGGCCTTCATCAGGGTCATCCAAAGACTCTGGAGACCCAGCTGACGTTAGCTCGGCAGACCAAACAAACAGCCGGCTTGATTTATAACATCCCCTGCTCCACCTTCTGCAAATGCTAAATGGACTTGAGCTTGTATATTTACATCTTCATGGCCTGTTTCAGATGTCAATCAATCAGCCCCGAAGTCCAAAACACAAGAGGCAGGAGATATACCAAAACTATACAGTTAATAATTAATTAGTTAATTTTCTCAATTGCCTCACTGGGCTCCTGTAGCCAGCTATCATACAGAGAATTATAAACATAATTTGAATCTAATAAAATGTTAATCTTTAGTCCTTACTGAGATGAAAATAATAGGATTTTAAGTAGTCAAACTCTTTTCTCAAAGTACTTAAAAGTTTACTTTATCAACTCATTCAGCACCAAAACAGGCCTGAGTGTTAACGCGTCCGCAATGTCCCCTGCAGCTCCCCTGGTTATGTTTGTTAATTAGTTTGGATGTCTTTTGTTAAGCTGCAGCAGTCAAATAATTAACAGTGACAAATAGCCCTCGTGTCCACTTGTGCTTATCCCACCTCTACAGCTGTGGGGTACATCTTCCTCTCTCGTGCAACCTGTTTTCATCAGGCCACAGGAGCCAAAACCAAACCTGCTAAATACGTTAATTTATAACCTGAGCTGGCATCAGGCCGAGGCAGCCGCTCAGAGAGAGAGAGAGGAAGAGGTGTTTTGGGTGAGAAAGTGCAGTGTCACCACGAGTTCACTTTAAGCTGCCATGCGTCTGGTTACTGTGCACGAGCTGATACAGCCTGGGAAAGTGATGTCCTTGTGTGCTGGATTGTAATTATTACACTTGCAAGTTTCATCGAAGCATGAGCTGTGTGGCACCAAAGTCAAAAGACTTAAATATAACAGTGATGGACAGGACGCTAACCGCAGCAGCACAATTCAGTATAAAATCATAGCTTATTTAGCACGGTGGGCTGAGACAGAAAAAGATGGACGGATGACGTGAAAAAAAGAAATTCAAACCAAATGGGAGAACTATTGGGTGTGAAGTTTGTTGTCTGTAAAGTGTAAAATGTTCTTAAACTGGTATGAGCTGATGTTAATACTCTACGTTTATTAAATCCTGATTTTTCAAAGAAATTATTGAAAGATGAATTTGCGCAGCAGAAAGTGTGACCTAATTATGAAATACAACCTGACTTCCAGCACTCCGGACATTTGGTGCAAGGTAAGGTTGTAAAACTCAGTCTAAGTTGTCTCATGTCAGTCTTTTAGAAATGAGTCACAGTATATTACATATTTGTTTGGATCAGAGAAGGTAGGCGGTTTCAAGGCACCCCCACAAGGCCGTTTTTGACGCCCCTCGGTTTGTCATATATGAGAGCAGTTATCAGGTCAACAGGTGTTGCAGCGATGGAAGCGGGCAAGAGAAGTGGTTCAGATAGAAGTGATTGTACCCGACCTAAAAAGCCTCTGCATGTTTCTAATAAGCTCCACGAGCAGAAACGTGCTCAAACTAGGATCAATATTGGAGATGATTTTGAAAAATGGAGAGAGGTTAGAACACAGAAAGGTTTACAGACCCATGCAGAGCTGGATAAACACTGAAGCTTCAGTGTCCACCACATGGCAGCGGGAGACAGCTCTCTCCAATGTTTTGAATTTGGACTGCAGTACTGATTTTAAACACTAGGTGTCAGAGTTACATATTGCTCCTTTAACATGAGAAAAAAAAGGCATAAAATCTGCAAAAAACAACAAGAGGGTTCTCTTAGCACCAAACAGGAAGGCACAAACCCAGCAAAAAGTTAACAAGAAGACCCCTGAGAGGGCTGTGTGAACATTTTCACTGAATAGGATAGAACAGTTTGAATTTTAAAGTCTGTTTATAAATGATGTGGGTGGTTTTCTGACCTTTTTCTTTTGGAATTAAATATTTTTAAAGTCTTCTAATGAATGGAACGTAGTAACGTACTGAACCAAGTCGAAGTTTACAGCTGCTGCTCGCTAATCAAATCTATCTATTCACTTATACACAACAACCTGTGTTGCACTGTCATACTTTGGTTCACAGTGAAGAATATGGAAACCAACTTGCTGTCTGCAGTATAACTATCAGCAAGGAACAACTAAAGTGATGGAAAACCGCCAGAAATGTCAGAAAGAAGC